ATAAAACTAGAACTAGGAGAATTTTACAAAGTTATCCCATATTTTTATTATTTTATATAAAAATAGGAGTGCTAGTCTCTCAAATTATCCCATATTTTTTGCTTTGAACTAACTAGTGTGCACGCCTTGCAAAGCGCAACTTTTATTTTTTTTATTTCTGCTACAGTTATTATGTATTTTAAATACTACTTTTTATGTGCTACAGTAACATTTTTAAAATTTTATGGCCTCCCGCTTATGCTACAGTTATAATATTATAGTAATGTTTTTAAACGGTCCAGTTCCCGCCTCTGCTATAGTAATAATGCTACAACAATTTATTGTAGCATGAAAATTCTCCCGTATGTGGTACAATAACAATGCTACAGTAATTCACTGTGGCATGAATAGTGGATCTTGGATCCTCTCATTATTATAGATGAATAGATAAATGGTAAAAAAAACTATTTATTTAATTTTTTCCCCTTACTTTTTTCCTACTATGGTCGTCATCATCATTAGGCAATGTCGTCAGATCAAATCTCGTCTCCTCTTAGTCATCTCTGATATTATTCTTTTTTATCGAATGTAATAATTATATAATTAATTTAAAAGTAAATATTGTATCAATCCATAAGTTATTAAATAAAAAATTGAGAGATGAGGGAAAGAAAAAGGAAGGAAAATATAATTTTTTTTAAGACTCATACTACAATAATAATTAAAAAATAAAAATGCCACAATATATATTATAATAATAATTACCAATAACCTATAGTCCAGCCAAAAGTTATTTAATGGTAAATAACATTCTCGAAAAATAATTATTAATCAATAATAGTAAGTTTAAAATACATAAATAGTAGTTATACCCTAAAAATGCATAAATATATACTTGATGATTATAAAAATTTATCCCATGTTACTTTATCAAAATATCCCGTTTTTTAAAACTGTTATCGTTTATCGCAATCAAAATATCCTATTAGCAAAAAATTATTCCACTTTTAATAATTATCCTACTCGGCGTGAAATGCCTCATTTGACTAACGTGTCCTTAAAAAAAGTCTTAAACTTCAAATAGATAATCAATAATTGTTATAATAACCTCAGTGCTTCATTAGTTACTGTTTAATAAAGAACAAAAACAACAACAATGATGAAATATCTCCAAGAGTTGCATAAAAATAAACAATTGTCCTCTTAGGAGAGTAGGGGAAAATCCCATACCAAAAATTAAATATATCATCTGCTTGAAAAACAAAACAAAAGTTCAAATTAACCATAGAACGAAAAACCAACCGAAAATCCCTCAACATTTTGTTTACTTTGCATTAAAATGCTCTCAGCTGTCTTCGGTATCATTTATAAACATTTATAGTTTAAAATGTCAACATATATCTTCATCTAAATTGATTTGGAGTATCATTAAAGAAAGTTCAAATAAAGACTTTCGCATTTATATAATAGAGGACGCTAATGTATTAATTTACAGCTTGTTTTGGCAACTTTAAATTATAATCCATTTAGGGGGTGTTTGGTTCAATTTCTATAAATTATAAGAAATGTTTTCCAGCCAAAATATGATTTCCTTGCATTTCTTAAAAAAATTATAGGAAAAGTTTTGAGAAATCAAAAAGTATCAATTTTCTTGTTTTTTTAATTTGCTTGTTTGGTTCAAAACAAAAAAAATAGCCCATAACTTTATAGAAAATAGCAAGATTTCCTATAATTTATAGAAATTGAACCAAATACCCTCTAAATTTATAGAAAAGTGTCAACTTTATAGAAAAGTGTCAATGTGACGTCAGATTTCTGGGTGATTTCTGCCCATTTTGAGAGGAAATTGATTTCTGTAAATTTTGGTACTTTTTTGTACTTTACAAAAAATATTTCTGTAAATTTTATTTGAACCAAACACAGTTTACGAAAATCTACAGAAAATTTTTAATTACAGAATTACCATTATCAGACATTTTGAGAAAACTTTGTTGGCCTTCTTATTTTGATGATGTTTAACAAACAATTTACTTCTAATGTTGTTTGTCTAGTATTTGTGTTTTCTTATTTATTATAGACAAACAACGTAGTTGGAGGTTAGATGGATTGAGCCTACACGATCATATCAAGAGGAGGTTGGCGGAATTGTGGAGTGAAGCATCGTACAATTCAAGTTCAAAATCCAAGTTTAGCTTTATCCGCAACGTGTACCAAGTCAAGCTTATTGAAGATCAAGATCGGCTTGGGTAATTTAGTTTAGGATTTATATTATGTGTGTTAAGTACGTTAAGCTCAATATCTATACACACACATTTATTGGTTTCTTCGTATATATATATAGTTATATATATACATACATGTGTTTTGGTTTTTATGATATTACATATTCAAAAGTTGGTTTATGTCAAAACATCAAAATTCAAGTATCTCATATTTTCATGTTTTGGACTAGTTTGTAAAATGATGATATTTTTCATTTGGGAAGTCCTTTTTGGAAAACAGTCATTGTAGCATGTTTATTATCATGTCTACAATCATTCCCCAAAGTTTTACATTTTTTGAAATTTATTTGATACTTTTAAACAACGTTTTAAAATTAGGAAATCAGATTTTCATGTATCGGTTTTCGGTCGACCGATCCGGTCGACCGCTCATATGTTCAGCCGTCAGTGGGCAGCAGAGAGTTTGTCGGTCGACCGGTCCGGTCGACCGAGAGCTCCATCGGGCGACCGCAGGAATTTCCGGTCGACCGCCAATATATCCGTTGGTTCCCAACGGCTATTTTTCTGAGCTGATTTTCTGGGGCTGTTTTTGTCTTTTGCTTGGGGTTGTTGGCTGAGGTTTTGGAGGTTATAAATACCCTCCTTGATCTCAGTTATCTGCAAGCTAAGAAAAGTTTTTAAACAAGGGTTTAAGGTTTTTCCCATGTTTGTTTAAGTTTGGGTTTCTGTTTACAAATGAGGAAGTTTTTTACTGCAGATTGAGGGATTTATTCTCAATCTTCTTCATCCTCTTCTTTGTGTTCATAGAGAAGTTTTCTAACTCTTTTCTCTAGCAATTTCATTATTGATTTTTATATTCTTATTATTGCTAGTTTGCTATTTGAGTTAGATTTTATTTTATCTCATTGTTACACACACCCACTTGAGCTTATTGTATTTGCATTCATAATATATTATGGGTTGGTGAGAGGTTATAACATTGAGTGTGAGCTTTCATTGTATTCTCATCCATAGTTGAGAACAATCAATTATTGTATTAAGCCTTATTGTGAGATTCACTTTGTAATACACTTGTACACCGAGAGGAGTGTGTGGTGAGAGTCGGGGATCGTCCCAAGAGGAGTGGCTTCGGTTGACGAGCCTAGGGAGAGGTTGTAACCGAGCACTTGAGGGAGACACGGCTAGGTCCAACACTTGTGAGGGTGTAGAGTGTGATTACAAGAGTGTTGTTTGTAAAGTTTTCGGTTAGCTAGAAAACCGAGTGTGAGGTGTAAACGTTGTTCGGGTGAACGTAGAAAACTCGGTTGTGATAGTGGATTTCTCCCCGGGAGTGGGGAGCGGAGACGTAGGACGAAAGGTCCGAACTCCGTGATCATATCTTGTGTTTGAGTGTGCTTTGGCGTTTATTTATACTTGTGTTTATATTTCTTGTCGCCATTGTCATTAGCTCATTATTTATATGATCCACTATCTAGTTCATATTGTTTACCCCTTGTGTTAGTTTTATATCCTTGCATATACATATATCATATTGTATATCTCTTTGATAGGATATGTCATCTTGTGTTAGTTTATATATCCTTGCATATATATATATTCATCATATAGGATATATCTCATTGTTCATATTGCTTATCCTAGCTTATATAGTTGTTATATTTCATACTTGCTAGGATAACTCATTAATTAGTTTTAATTGGCATATAATCGGATTAGATTAGCATAAGATCCTAATCACCCCCCTCTAGGGTCTAACAAACATTTCTATAAAATTGTGCAACCAAACACCCCCTTAGTTTATAGTTCACTTTCAATACTAGAGTGTTTGGTAAATGTATGGTGTTAAACGAATACTCGTTGTCAAAACGACTAGAAAATGGAGAGAGAGAGAGAGAGAGAGAGAAAGAGAGTTTTAATATTTTTTTAAATGTTAAGGGGTAAAGAGTAAGCCACTAAAAAAAAAATAAGCTACACTGCTTGACTCAGGCCTTTTTTTGGGTTGTAACCCAAAATAAGATGTTTGCAAAACATCGCTTGATGTATAAGACACTTTAAGTCATTTTAACCAGTTGCCAAACATGCTTTTAAACAACTTTGGGATACATAAATACCGTAAAATAACAAGTAAGGTTATTTAAGCCACTTTAACCAGTTGTAATACACATGCTCTTAACACAGCACACACACACCACCACAACAAATATATATATATATAATACTTATATATATATATATATATATATATATATATATATATATTATTATATATATATAATATATATTTATAGTATAATGGAGGTGAGTTGGCAGCTCACCTTTTCCCATGAGCTGTAAGTGTATGACATGTGAGCCCCACGATTATGACTAGTAGGGGCGCACAGTGTCATTAGCACTTGTAGTTCACGGGAGGTGAGCTGTCAGGTTACCTCCATTATTCTCTCTATATATATATATAAATTGCTGGAAAAAAAAAGCAAGTGAGGTTATTTAAGTTCAAAGTGAATGAAAGTGTGAGTTAGTTAAGTGCGATATAGCCACGTTTCAACCGCATGTTTTAACCATGGTAAGTTAATATCCGGGGTAGAATTTGATTAAAAGGGAGTGCGCATATCAAGCGCAAATCTCTTCTCCTCCATAAATAAATAAACAAAATCTGTCCTTTGACAAAACCCCATTACCCCGCATCCTCGCTCTCCGTATCATCAAAAAGACAGGATGCCGAAAGAGATCGTGAGCTCCGGCGAGTTCTGGCTCCCTGACGATTTCTTCTCCGACGATTTCTCCCTCGTCGAGAATCCCGGCGTCGCCCGCCCGAAGCAGAGGACGAGGCTGCAGATGGCCTCGTCTCCGGCCTTAGCTTTGGATCTTTCTCTGCTTTCGCTCGACAAAATCCAAAGGTGCTAACTTGCTTCGCTCTTAATTTTTTCTCAAACTCGAACAGGCTTCTTCTTCTTCTTTTTTTTTTCTCCTTTTTTTTGGTTGCTGCTAAATTCTTGAATTATTACACAGTCTTTAAAAGTGGGGACCCAGCCAGAGTCGGCGACTCACGGTGACGAGGCTCTCCGTCTTCTTTACGCAGCTGCACAACTTTCAAGGATAAGCCTCCACCATCAATACCTTCATCGATGTGGGCTTGCTGGGCCTCATCACAAGATGGGCCTTCCGCCTAATCGAGCTCTCATCCAGCAACAGCTGCGGGCTGCTCGCGTAAGCTAAAACCCCGACTTTTCCCCCCTCCCCTTTTCGAAGACCACCGCATTACTCGATATTTTGTATAATAATTAATGTTGTTATGTGATTTATCTTCTTCAGTTTTATGAGTTGAGGAGGCTGCAACTGATGAAGGAGCAGTGGGCTGCGAAGAACCGCTGCAGATTTTCGAGAAATGATGGGTGTGGAGATGAGATGGGCCTAATTGGGCCGCCGCTTCAGAAGCTGGCCCAACAGGAGCCTTCTGTGAGAGCCGTGTTTGTCGGTCGGAGGGAGTCTAAAGGGACAGGCGTCTTCATTCCACGCCGAGCAGGAGCCCAGACTGAGCCCAAGAGGAATCCTGGTAATTATTAATCCCCTAGGTTTCCGCTTTCAACGGCTTTTAATGATATTTACGAATTTTATAACTGTTTATTTTATTATCTATTTTCAGCTTGCTCGACTGTTTTGTTACCGGTTGGGGTTGGTAATGCGCTCAACATGAAGGGTAATGGTGGTTTTATCAACCCTTTTTTTTAATTATATTTTTATTCTTTTTTTGCTACATTCCGCATTTCCATCGTAGAATCTTTTTTTTTTATATTTAAATTTATTTATTTCAGGCGTAAACGAGATGTGGAATGAGGGGAAACGGTCGCCGCTCGGCCCACAACGGGCCGCATTTTCGGCCCACGATGCTCGTCTTCCCCAGGAGTGGACCTACTGATTGATGATTGATTTCTCTCGTGGTCATGTACGCAATTTGGAAAGGTTGGAGGAGGTTATAAAGAAAAAGTTCTCAGTAGGAATAGTTACCTTTTGTTATTTTACATAGATTTGTTTTTTTAAAAAAAAAAAAATTACCGGCTCAAGTTACGATTTTGCAGTAGGTGCCCTTTTGGTTTTTGTTGCTTCTGTTCTATTATTACTTGGGCAGGGAACCGGAAATAATAACAATGAAGTGGAGGGGGTATTTTGTTAATGTTGTCAGGGGTTTGTTGGTCTAAGTGCTGTAGCGGAGGGTAGTTTTGCAATAAAGTTTTGGCTGTGTGGTGTAAAAGAAATATGATGATGGCAGTTGATGGAAAATGAAATGTAGCACGAGTAATGAAAGTTCATGTGGGCTGCACGAGTATCTTTTTTCACAAAGTAGCTTACTTTATGGGCCTGCTGTCGTATTAGCGTTCGCTTCGCAATTTATGTACAGCTGCAATATTGTGATGGCAAATGTAGGTAATTATATCCGAAGAATATCATGAATATAGTCATGTTTAATTTAAGGGAAAAATGTGTCCAGGCCCCAAAAACAGAAACTTCATGTGCTGCAGCCCCTCCTAGTTTTCCCCATGTGGTTCAGCCCCTTGAAGTGTGATATTTTGTGCTACAGCCTCTTTTTAACAATTATTACATGCCAACTAAGCTGAAATTCTCAAAATAACCTTATCCCTTCTTCTCAATCCTTCAAACCCAGTTCTCTCTCTCTCTCGGCTTTCTTAAGCTCGTCGCTCTGGCCCTCGTCCTCCTCGCCGTCGCCACCTCCGCCCAGGTTCCCAAGCCTCCCCCGAGTACGCCGCCGCCTCCCCTCCTCTCCTCCGCCCGACCTCGTCACGGTAGCTCGTCGTCGCTCCCCTTCTTGCCCTCGACTACGTCTTGATTGAGAGCTCTTGCTATTGGGTCTAGCTGCATTAACAGAGGCAACAACATGTAGTGATGATGGGCAACCTGAAGAAAAATGAAGAAAATGGCAAAGAAGGAGATCATTAGACTCTACAGAACAAAACACATTAAAGAAAACTTTGCCTGGATTGAAAGTGTACCTTCAGTATTGGCTGCAACTGTGTCCAAAAATCCTCATTTAGTGGGTTTAGAGGCTTTAGGAAAATAACCCAGAGAGAGGACTGAAGGATCTTCTTCATCAATCCAATTTCTCTCCTTTGACGCCATCAGATTAAGTAGCTTTGGACAAACTTCACTTTTCTTTCTAAACTCTTCTCCCATTTTTTTTATTCAGACTGGAAAAACAGAGCCCGATAGGAGAAGCTAAGAAAAAATGTCAAAAAAAAAATTAGTTCTAACACGCGGGTACAGTGTTAGTTCTAACACGCTACAGTGTTAGTTCTAACACACTACAGTGTTAGAACTAACACTGTAGCGTGTTAGAACTAACACTGTAGCCGCGTGTTAGAACTAACACTGTAGCTTGTTAGAACTAACATTATAGCGTGTTAGAACTAACACTGTAGCCGCGTGTTAGAACTAACACTGTAGCCGCGTGTTAGAACTAACATAGCGTGTTAGAACTAACACTGTAGCCGCGTGTTAGAACTAACACTGTAGCGTGTTAGAACTAACATTGTAGCTTGTTAGAATTAACATTGTAGCGTGTTAGAACTAACACTGTAGCCGCGTGTTAGAACTAACACTGTAGCCGCGTGTTAGAACTAACACTGTAGCGTTTAAGTCTCCTGATACTTCTCCCATTCCTTTGTAGGTGGTTTCATTTATGAAAGAAATTGGTTTTGATGGCAGAACCATAAGGAGAATATTATGTCGCTGTTCAGAGATATTTTCTGCTAATGTCGACAATACTCTCAGGAGGAAAGTACAATTCCTCACAGATTTTGGCATCTTGAGAGGTCAACTTCCTCGTGTTATTCGAAAGTATCCCGAGCTTCTTCTGTTAGACATCCATCAAACTTTACGTCCAAGGTATAAAAAGTGTCATGCTTATGAAGTTCTCTAACGTTTCTGTAATAAACATCATTTATGTTATTTTCCTTGAAGTTTTAGTTTCAAATGTGGAATTAGTCATATTACTTTACTCCATGCACGACTCTTTCCTGCTTATTCTGCATATGAGGCCAAGTTTTTTGTGGAAAGATCGGATCATATACCTTCTTGTGCCCAAATGCAGAACATGGTGCTCCCAATACAGGATTTTTGGTAAGATCGTTAGTGCACCAAGTAGACTTACTTCATTCTTTAATAAATTTATGGGGTTAAACTTGTAATTAGGTTTGTATGCCCGAAAATTCCATTAGGTCAATTACCATCAATTATTTCCCCCCAAAACCCCAGATCAATTATTATTTTCTGTAAAAAATCCAAATTAGTGCGTGTTAGTTCTAATCTGCACAGTGTTGGTTCTATTCCGTAGAGTGTTAGTTCTAATCTGCACAGTGTTAGTTCTATTCTGTAGCGTGTTAGTTCTAATCTGCACAGTGTTAGTTCTATTCTGTAGCGTGTTAGTTCTAATCTGCACAGTGTTAGTTCTATTCTATACCATGTTAGTTCTAATTTATACCACGTTAGTTCTATTTTATACCGTGTTAGTTCTAATTAATAACAAGTTAGTTCTATTTTATACCACGTTAGTTCTAATTTTAACCATATTAGTTCTAATTTATAACAAGTTAGTTCTAATTTATAACAAATTAGTTCTAATTTATACCACGTTAGTTCTAATTTATACCAAGTTAGTTCTAATTTATACAATGTTAGTTCTATTTTATACCAAGTTAGTTCTATTTTATACTCCATGACAAAATCCAAGCAAAGATAAGAATACCAACATCAAATTTAGACTGCCTGATACTTTTGTACAAACCAATTTAGACTGCCTGATACTTAGTCTTATGTGTACAAACCAATTTAGACTGCCTGATACTTAGTCTTATGTGTACAAACCAATTTAGACTGCCTGATACTTAGTCTTATGTGTACAAACCAATTTAGACTGCCTGATACTTAGTCTTATGTGTACAAACCAATTTAGACTGCCTGATACTTAGTCTTATGTGTACAAACCAATTTAGACTGCCTGATACTTAGTCTTATGTGTACAAACCAATTTAGACTGCCTGATACTTAGTCTTATGTGTACAAACCAATTTAGACTGCCTGATACTTAGAGAGAGAGAGAGAGAGAGAGAGAGAGAGAGAGAGAGAGAGAACTGAGTTTGAAGGATTGAGGAGAGGGGATAATGTTATTTTAGGGATTTTAGCTTAGTTGGCATGTAATAATTGTTAAAAAGGGGGTGCAGCACAAAATGTCACACTTCAAGAGGCTAAATCACATGGGGAAAACTAGGAGGGGCTGCAGCACATGAAGTTTCTGTTTTTGGGGCCTGGACATATTTTTCCCTTAATTTAACAGCTTGCATCTTTTCTTCTCCCCTTAACAGGATTTTCTATAGGATGTTTTTTTTCTCAAATATGAAAAATTTCCCTTAGGGGAGCAAGTATCATATCCAGTCGTGCCTGCTGCCGCTCCGATATGATACTACTTACTGGATATGATACTTATTATATCTAGTTATCAATTTTGGATACGGATATAAATATGTCTTACTAAAGAGAATTCATAACCATATCTGCTGAAATTGCCTACCGATATGGATATGCATGCGGATATAGATGCGGATGCAAAACAGATATTAGAAAATTAAATAATATTGAAAAAAAATTTTGGTTCATATGGTACAAGCAAGAGAGTTCATATGTTGATCATATTTTAAAAGCTAATATTAAATCTCTTCATCAATATGTTCATTATATTTTAAAACCTAATATTAAATCTCTTGATCATTAAAATTAATCTTAAAGTTATAAATCTAAGAATTAAAATTGTTGCAAATATAATGATTATCAATCCAAATTGATTGTATAGTTAGGGCCTGTTTGGTTCACCTATTTTATAATTTTTTTTGAGAAAACACCTGACAATGTCGTTGTAATAATAGATTTCGTTAGATTTCTATAAACTGTGTTTGGTTATAAAAAATTTATAGAAATAATTTCTATAAAGTAGGAAAAAGTGTATACTATTATATAGAAATCAACTTTCTCTCCAAAAGGGCGCAAATTGCAAGGAAATCTGACATTTATGTTTAAATAATAATAAAATATACCTGTAGGCATTAAAAATTACCTATAAGTTCCCGAACACAGCTCGAGACGAAGAGAAGAAGAAGAACGTCGTTATCTTAGTCAAAAAAGATTATTCAATGCCAAGGGGGAAGTAAAGGAAGCGATGAAGCAACAACGCGATTTAGAATGCATGGTTCGAGAAGAAAATAGATGCACGAATATGAAGAACTGAAATTTCGACTATGATGCAATCCGAATCCGAAATAGCTCAAAACACAAAAGTCGTAGGTCTCTTCGCCAGCTTTCCAACGCAACTTGAATCACCTAATTCCGAGGTCGGACGAAAGAATTAAAGCAAAAATACTGAAGACAATACAAACTGTTTCGCACATGCACATGTTTCGATGTGTTTTGCACGTGCGAAACACACCAAAGTGTTTCGCACATGTGCGAAATGGACATGACTATTTTGCACAGATCAGCCTCCCGAACGCGTTTTCGACGGTTTTCGATCGGTTTTGACGGTTCCGGAGCCTCCTTAATTGGGGTTATCCTTGAATGTGGAAAAGTTGTTATTAACTGAGGATATGATCAAATCATAGATTCCTATCCGAAAACACGGCATCCGAAGCCTATAAATACACCCCTAGGCCTCCTATACAGGGGATCAGGAATTTCGAGCTTTGAGGCAAGTTGCTGACCTTGTGAGAGTAGAGCCACGAATTTCAGATCTAAAGGCGAGTTCTTAAGCATAAAGAAGAACATTTGGAGAGATCTACACACTGTCACATGTTCCCTCAAGATCATACTGTCGTTTTGATCTTGAGAAGGATATTTATCTCGTATCATTGAGATATTTACTTCCATTCTTGTTTTTATAAGGGAACGGGAACAATAAACCTTCTTCACGATCAACCGAATCTGGTTTTTGGCGGTCCACGGATCAAAGCGTCCCCGACATAGACAAAGATCCCACGCAACCAGCGATCGATAAACGATCCTGCGTGTGTTTCTAGGAAGTCTTCATTTATTTTCATTTGTGTAAGAAAAGTCTTATTAAAAGACTCCTTCTTGTTGAATATGTAATTGATAAACAATTGTAATGAATTCCACAATGAAAAAGATTTCCGACGCAAATAACACCCGTATCACTTTTCCATTAAATTTGAAATTACCTAGAAATTTTAAATTGCCTACATTATTGCATGAGTTTTACTTTTCTATAAAATTTTCTTATCCAACCAAACAAAAGAAGAAGAAAACAACTTATTTTCTATAAAGTTATGAACTCATTTTTATGTTTTGAACCAAACAAAGAAATAGCGACAAATAAGAAAACTAGTACTTTTTGAGTTCTATAAACTTTTCCTACAAATTTTTATAAAAATAAAAGGAAATTAAATTCTTGACACTTTTCATTTTCCATTTTTTTTATAGAAATCAAACCAAACCACCCCTTATTCCACCACATAACTATATTCTTTATCATATTCTATCCTACATAGATATTCGCAATCATATCCACAATCTAAGAGATACGGATACAAATATTTTTCTTAATATACAAATATTTTTGGTCACCCTAATTATGTCAACGGAGTTGATATCATACTAATCAGAGGGTATTTTACTGCTGCAATTATCAACGTTGTATTAGTACAACTCAAATGTCGCACGCGGGTAAGCAGCAATAATGGCATTTAGTCAAAGCCCAATAAGGGCCCCCTACTATTTCTATTTGTACTGTAAACTCTATTTGGGCCTATAGACGGGCCGAGCCTCCATCCGAAGCCTTAATTGTTGCTGGAGTTCCAAGATGCTATAAATACTACACCATCCCCTGAATTCCTTCACGCTGAGAGACGCTAAATTTCGAAATTTCGTCCCCCGAATGTAGTAAGCTCAGGTACCCCTTTCTTCTCCTTTTATTTTCTACCAATTTTCTTTCTTTTTAATTAAATTAAATCTCATTCGCACCATAAAATGGAAATCCTACATTTTTTTTACAAAAAAAAAAGAGTAGTCCTGGCATTTTTTGATGATTAATTATTGAAGACCTAAATTGGTGTTTTTTTGGCGATCGTTAGATTTACCTATTAAAAAAAACTATGCATTCGGTACCAGAATCATTGAACCAGCTCGCAATGGCTGGAAATGTTAGGAGTTCAATTGTGAAATTGGATTCAAGAAATAAAAAACAAAAACAAATGTAAAAATCTAGTCATAGATTGTGTCATCCTTTCACGCGAATTTTCGTCAATTTGATTTTGATTATATTCAAACTGACTAAAGCTAGCGGCGGAGTTTTCTCTCTCTCTCTCTCTCTCTCTCTCTCTCTCTCTCTCTCTCTCTCTCTCTCTCTTTTGAATAAGCTCAACGGCTTATCTGCTTCATTAACATTTTTCCATTTTCAAGATGATCTGCATTCTGAGTTACATAGATAATCTCATATTTCATTTAAAGTTCATTTTTACTGTGCGGTGCGCGCAGGACTCAATGCAGTTAGAAAAGGAAGCCTGCTTCCTGAAAAAAATGCATGATCGAAGAAATCAATGGAGGCATGCAAGGTACCTTCATATCCTATACGTGTATCTTTAATAATCCCTCATCAAAAAGTAAAAAAGTTTTTTTTTTAAATTTCCTCTCCCCTCTTTTTTTCTTCTTGTTCTTGCATTAGGAGCTAAAAACTTTAGGACAGAAATTCGATGTGTAAAAGTTCTAAAACTTTTATGAAATTTGAAGCAGACGAGAAGAAAAGGCTAAGCTCTCATTCAAAACCGAAATACGAATGCAACATTGAACAGCAAATAAGACTCAGATGAAGAAGATATTTTTGCCAACCTATGGCTTTGAGATTACTTCAGCTGTTGGAATTGCATGATGCATTATTCTATAGTCTTGTAGCTGTTATCTAAGATTTAGAATCCTCAATTTTTGTCTCAAATGTAGGAGCTCTTTTGTGATTCTTCAATAGATCATAGGGGTTTTGACTCTCCTAATGTCAAAAAAGTGAAGCGTCCATTTTTCTCATCAAAATCTATTAATACTTGATCGTTATGATAGCACATCTCGGGGATTTGCAGTCATTCACACTTTTCATTCAACACTATCAGCTGATTTGTCATCCATAAGATAGTTATGACATGATACTTGCTATGATTTGCATTCATTTTCTTTTTTTACTCAACATTATCAAATCCGTTACTACTCTAAATAATATATTGTTATAATCAAGTCTAAATAATAGCCGACTGTAGCAGTCCACAAAATAGACCCTCCATTGGTTTCTGATGCTGTAAATCCACCTGAAATCATAATTTCTAAGGCTACCAACTTCTTTCCATGCGCAATATTCTTCCATTAATAACACAGAAACAAGCTTGCGTCATAAGCTGTGATACATAGCATCTAATAGCAACGCGCTCCTGTTTATTCAAATTATCGGCTATTATATTCTTAATGATTTGATATGTTGGACTAATTTTTGAAAGTTCATGTTAGAAGATCCATTTTCCTTCACACTTTCTCTTGCAATATTAGCCATCTCACTTACTGACTTCCTCAGCCCCTCATCCACCATTACCTTCCTAGCCATACTCTCTATAGTGTTCCTATCGCATGTATCCTTCATGTCTACTCCAATCTTCCACACTTCACCCACATACCTACTGGTAATTTGTTGGTCAGCAAAGAATGGCCAACATATCATCGGCACCCCCGCTGCAATGCTCTCCAACGTCGAGTTCCATCCGCTATGCGTCAAGAAGCACCCAATTGCTGGATGGGCTAGTACCTCTTCTTGTGGGGCCCATGGCACGAAACAAACCCTTTCCGTTGTGTATATCTCTAGCTCTGTTGTGATTCCTTGTACAAGATCAGGTCGAATCACCCATAAGAACCTATGGCCGCTATTGACAAGCCCATGAAAAAACTCGTGAAACTTGTACCCCGTCATGGTTGTTATGCTACCAATGGCCGCTATTGACAAGCCCATGAAAAAACTCGTGAAACTTGTACCCCGTCATGGTTGTTATGCTACCGAAGCTGATATAGACAACTGACTTGTTTGGTTGGGAGTCTAGCCACTCGATACAAGATCTATCCTGTAGCCAGAAACTAGGGAAATTGGTGGATGAATTCAAGTTTCTTTGAAGAAGGTGAAGAGGCCCGATAGTGTAAATGATTGGACAGACAGAACGAATGTGAGATAGGACAAGTGAATCTAATGGTTCGAAGGTGTTTAGGATGAGAGCTTTCGCTCTTCCCAAGTTGTTGCTCGCAGTGTTAAAGAATCCAAGGACTCGATCATTTGGAGATTTGGCGTGTCTTAGTGTGCCTGGAAGATCTCTGCGTCGTAAGAGACTCTGCATCCCTTCTACCCCTTGTATCGGATCATCCATGTCAGCCTCCTCTGCAGTTGAGCATTTTACCAAAGGGTGAGGTTATAATACACTTATGGTGTAACTAAAAATATTTACGCCTACTTAGGAAAATACATGTCTTCCATCTGTATGATTAATCCAAATCGTTCTTTGATATCCATTATCCACACATCAATAAACCCAAGTGGATCAAAACCCCAAATGGAGGGGACTTTCCATCCTATGATTAAAGCAACTCAAGATAATCGCCGTTTGAGTCTGGTATATGTTGTTCATCTCTGAGTCATGAGATGCTGCAGAGACTAGAGGTTCCAAATCAATGTGATTTTTTTATCTCCGTGAATTTGTGAACGTGTGGATCATGATGAGTGGGTTGGAGTATTATATAGATGGTTAGACATATATATTCACGGGCAATTGTAAACTCCAATCAGTTACATCCTATGCGTAACGAAATGGTCTTATTATATAGATCTATCTTTTAAATTCTGGGACTAGTAAAGTGTCGGTAGAGCAGATCATCATACCAGGGAACGGGAGCTCTCCTCTTTTTATGAGCTCTGGAATGGAGTAATAAGCCCACACACTGCAAGGACTGCTTGTACGCAGAAGGATCACAGGAACCATCATCTCCTCAGCCACATCAAATGCAACAGGCATCAACCCATCGGCCACAACACAAGTAACTGGTGGCCACCCGTCGGGGTCTTCACCATTCTTAGGCACCAAAGTCTCCCTATAGAGTTCACTACATCGAGCCCTTATTGAGTCTACAAGGTCTACTACTTGTAAAATTGGCTCAGTATTGTTGCTAGTGAGTCCATCAGGGAGTGTTTTGAATCTGAACCTAGGCTGTTGAGCCAGTTGCTCGAGGGCAGGAGAGTTTTTGAGCAGGCGGTTATGGATGGTTTCCGTGTTGAGGAAGGTTATATGGAAGCCAGAGAGCGATAGAAGCTCCGCTAGTTTGAGTATCGGAGGGATATGACCCTGAATGGGGAAGGGGAAGACGAGGACATGTGGGTTTTTTGCCTTATCTTCTGCCATGGATTTGTTTTTTTTTTTTGTTTCTGATCTTTGTGATGATGCTTTGTGCGTCTCATCCTAGTTTTTATATTAGGTAGTAATTGAGTCTTTATTTCCTCTTTTTTTAGGGAAAAGTAGTCTAGAGCTTATTATCATTATTATTATGATAGCTCCATTTGAGAAGGGTGCAGTGGTATAAGGTTGGCTGTCGTGAAATTATGTAATATGATGACTACTATGTCATCCATTTAAGTTGGTTGTTTCTTCTTGTAAGTTTGTGAGGTCATCTATTCTTCAAGATTTGGAGAGAGAGAGGCCTGCGTAAGAGTATATTATGTCAAATTTCGAGACTTCAGAATCATGAGGATAGGAAGAAAAATAAAAATAAAAATAAGAATAAAAACCTTGATATAATTGCTTCTCATCAGCAATATATGTCCTTTCGTTGAAAACCAACATTTAGCATAAAAAACAAATGCAACCATCTTAGTTTAGTGTTGTTGATTTATATGTGTCGTCCACTTACATTGACTGTTAGTTCTTCAATCTTTGTGAGGTCATCTATTCTTCAGGATTTTAGACAAAGGGACCTGAATCGCAATATTATTGTGTAAAGTTTGGGACTTCACAATTATGGGTATACGGGGTGTAGGGTCGAAAAATTAAAGTTTGATTGATTTTTTGTTTTAATAATGGGTTCGATCGTTTGGTACGAATACCTTACAATCACTCACTCTTGATTACAAAGGAAGAGAAGATTAATTTGACTTCTCTTTTGTTTAAAAGTGGGTTCTAGGTGGCGAAATGATGCTTCTCTCGATGCTTAAGCCGAGATTGCTTCCCGTTGACGATCAGAACAAGATCACAACAACTTTTGATGGTGGCTTGGATCACGAAAATGTAGACATTAATCTCTCTTCACGCGATCGCTAAAAACTCCTCCAGAAGTCTAAAAAAAAGTCCCTTCTTCATAGTTGCTCATGGCTATTTATAAGGTTTCAGTACGTACCAATGTGCTAAAATTGTGGGTAGAGGGTGTAACTGCCTCATGTAATTCAGCCCACGTTGGTTAATGGGGCGAAACATGCTCTTGGAACTTAGCCCACGTGGCTGACTAAGTCTTCGGAGCCGTTACAGTTGAATCTCCAGCGGACGACGAGCCTCGCTGTTTGCCGAAGTTCACCTGATTGAACGAACTTCAATATGTAGCGAAGTTCGTCTTCTAAGGCTAACTTTGTAGTACAACGAACTCTGTCTTCACTGACGTCGTCTGACGAGCTTCGTATTCACTAATGAACTTTGTCTTCGACAGCTGAGTCCAACTGCGTAGCAAGTCTTGTGAATTTCCTTTTGAGGAGCCTCATCTTCACAATGAGCTTCACGTCTGGTGATGAGCTCTGAACCTCGTATCCAATGACGAGCTTCGAACCCCGTTTCTAACGACTAGCTTCGAACCTCGTTTCCACTAGTGAACTTCGAACCTCGTATCCAACGACGAGTTTCGAACCTCGTTTCCACTAATGAGCTTCAAACCTCGTATCCAATGACGAGCTTCGAACCTCGTTTCTATTGATGAGTTCGCCGAGCCTCGCTGCATGGTGAACCTCGTTTCTGATATGACTCATCGCTGGGTGATGAGTCTTATCTTTGACCAAGACGAGGTTTGTCCCTATGACGACCTTCGTTATATCTTGAAGTTCGATATTTTTTAATGACTACAAAATCCCCTTCAAAGTTTTCAGACTTGAATTGGGTTGTATGGAGTCTGAAACACTTTGAATCATATTAGGACGAACTTAGCCTCATTGTTCGCAATTCAATGCTTCTGTAAGCTTCGCCACAAAGTTCGGCAATTGGCTGACCTTCGTCTTTCCATGTGAGTATTGTTAGACCCACACATGGTTTTAAATATCGGCCGATAATCCGATATTATCGCCGAGTTATCGGATTTGAGAGCTTTCCGCGAGGATAAGTAGAATTTTTAATCGGTTATCGTTTTTTGCGGTTTATCGGCGATAAAGACACTTATCGGCCGATAAGTAGGCTCTAAATATGGGCTTTATCGGCCGATAAATAGGATTTGTGAGCTTTTACTTTTTTTTGGATTTGTTCTTTAAATGTTTACAAATTATGAATTATTTGTTGCTTTTGAAACTTGGTTGATTAGTGATTAGCATGTTTGTTTATGGATATTGATAATGGCTCATAACTACTAAATATCAACTTAGTAAGTTAGTTTATAAATCTCACAATTAAACAATAATTATGTAGATGCGTAGATGGTTCTTCATTCTTGATGTTATCTTATTATTTGCTTGTTTATTATTCCATTTTGACTAACATTATATTTTTTTTAAGCTTATGTTTGTTTATTATTTGCTAGTATATTACTCCGATAAATACTACTTATCCCCGATATATCCCTAATTTCCGCTATCCGATAAGGATTTTGACCGTCCGATAAATCCCCGATAACCGACATTTAAAACCTTGGACCCACACCTATATGGCACCTTTCAGCCTTATCAGCAGTAACTATTACACACCTTTTCTAGACCCGATAGGTGGCTGTCAGCTGGTGCCTTGAGATCTCTTCCATGGATCTCGCCCGCAGATCTCGTTGGGAAAGTGATTCATCCAACAATCTCAATCGAAGATCTCGGCCATTGATTCGATTTCTCCCGCCTCTATATATATGACGTCATCATACGAAGAGTCCTTTCTTCTTCTGATCGCTTGAGTTATCAAAACCCTTCATCTCCCAAATTCTGAACCTTTCTTCTTGGAGAGCTTCCAATCCGAGACCAATGGCTCCTCAAACCGCTGTAAGCAAAGGTAAGGGCAAGAAGGTCGTCGGTCCTTCAGATGATCCTGCGGCTTCATCCGCTTTCTCATGTAATAGATCTGCATGCAAGGTCTGCGTTTCATCACAGATGAACCCTGTCTATTTTCTTTTCTTTCTCCCCAAGGAGCTTCTCTACCATTGCTTCCAAGCGTCTGATAGATTCCTGTTACTGACGGATGGTTGATTGTTGTTCTTCCATCTTCCTCGCCATGTCTTCCTCACTTCCAGCCATGTGAGCACTTGCTTGTTCACTTTGATCGGTATTAGAGGGTTGAGAGGTTGCAATAGCTGAGTTTTCAGGCTCCTCACCAGCCTCATCTGTAATGTCTGCTAATCGCCGATAATCTAACGAGATCACCACACTAGTACGAGTACGAGTGTGACTCCCTGCCCCTCAATGAGCATTTCACCTAACCCTGGAGAGTACTCAGGATCAGAAGATTCAGAAGAATCAGTCGAGGCTTTGCTCTTGCCCTTGCTGACCATATTAATCGTCACTTCAACTTGACGATTCTTAGGCGCTTGTTTCTTGGGACGAAAGCGTCTTCTTCTAGATGACGAGACCGTCGATGACTCAGTCAGTCGTTCGAAGACTGAAGATTTGTGTGCTGACTCTCCACATGAATATTGGGAAAGCACTGTAGAGATAAGCTTCTCACAGCAGCAATAAGATTGTATCTGACTCATGTTGCGTTTGCACATAGATAGTCACGGAGGTCAACAGTGGAACTACCCCCAGCGGGCTCTGTCGACTTAGCTTTACCCGAGCGAGGCCCTCTAAATGATAGAGGTTGACGAACTTGGGTAGCTGGACGAACTTCGTCATTCATGTGTTTATGACGAGGTTCGTTGGTAGGACGAGCTTGGCGCATTCGCCTTCTCGGTCTTGTTTGGTTCAAAAGTTGTTTTTTTTATTATCATAGAACCTGTTACAATCGTTTATCGATTACAAGTTTAAAAAAATAGAAAAGTTGATCTTTTTTATAAGATCTTCTTACACAATAAAAAATAAAAGATTATAATTTTATCAAACAACACATAGATCCTATTTATTAGTCTCTGTTTACGTGGGATCTTCGCCTGTGTCGGGACGTGTTAGCCCGTGGACTGTCACGGATCAGATCTGATTGACAGATTGATGACCAAAGTTCTTACTTCACCAAGGAAGTAATCGCTGAAGTAAATGATCTCGACCAAGCGAGATCACTACTCTTCTCGAAATTAAGTCCAAACCTGATCTCATGGAATTGGGGGACGGACCTTAGATCCTTTGAAATCCACTCTTTATGCACAGGAATTCGCCAAGATCTCGCTAGCCTCTCTCAAATTCGTGGCTCCCTTCAAATATGTCTTTATGAGGGTGCTAGGGGTGTATTTATAGGCTTTAAATACCGTGTTTGTGGATATGAATATCGTGTTTGTGGATAGGGTCGAAGAACAACCGTTATTATCCGTTTAGGTGGGTTTTCGGTTGTGTAACAGCTTCCACATGTTTAAGGATAACCCCACATGTTTATGGATGACCCCAAGGAGTTCTAGAAGTCAATCTTATCAGAAAACACGCCGGGAACTGACCTGGGTGCGAGTCACTTCGACTGTCTCGCACATGTCCGAGACAGTTTGGACTGTCTCGGGTATTTTGGTCTTAACTCTCTCGTCCGATCTCGGAATGTGATGATTCAAGATGCGTTGAAAAACTGACAAATAGACCTATAACTCTTGTCTTTTAAGCTTCTTCAGATTCGAAGCGAGTCATGGTTAAAATCTCTATTATTCTCCAAGACACACTTTGTGTCTCGCTGGTGTAAAATGGCCTAAACGGTCTCAGGTATTTTGGCTCTAACTCTCTCGTCCGACCTCGGAATAAAGTGATTTAAGATGCGTTAGAAAGCTCACGAAGAGCTCTATAACCTTCTATGAGCGAGACACCCATGTGATGAGCGAGATATGAGTGGTTCTTACTCCTTTGTGGGTGAAACGTAACCCCGGATCGAGTCGCTTCTTCATTATTATACCATTCCGTTGATTTGTATGCTTTATCAACTCGCTTCGTGTATTTGTTAGCTTCTCTATGACATCAGATAATCCTCCTTGATTCGGATAATGACTTTTATCGTCTTCTCTTCGTCTCGAGCTATGTACGGGAACCCATAGGTAATTTTTAACGCCTACATGTCTGTTCTTAACTTGAGGTTCACTCTCTTGATGAACCTTGGAGTGAACCACTTGTTGAGCTGATTGAACCTCACTTTGTGGATGTTCGTTCTCCAAGCCTACTTGGGTGCAGGGACGAGCTCTGTCATTTTGACGTTCCTCGGCCAGTTGACCCTCGACAGACTTATTAAATTTGGATTTACTGACTTTCGATCGATAGAGAAAACCATCCAACGAGATCAAAGCTCGAGCGCTACAGCGAGCTTGATTTTGGCGTTGTTGTTGTCACGCACATCCCGAAAGTGGACGTACAAAAACTCTCGCTTCAGCCAAAGCTGGACGAGGTTCGTTATCAGAAGCTAATGTTTGGCTAATAGAAGCCGAAGTTCGGCTAGGTTGCTTAACAACCTATTTCTTAGCCTGACGACTAGTTATTGGAGCCTCATCTTTGAGAGGCATAGAATTTTTTCGAGGCTAAGTCGAGTTGAATCATCAGAAGCCACATGGGCTGAAGTTTCATAAGAGACTCGGCGATACTTTCGTGCCTTGGTGGGACTGGTCTTACTAGAGGAAACAAACTCCTCGTACTCCATTTGGTCAAACTCTATGACTAGAGTTTCAACCTCGGCTCCCATTGCAATCTTATCTGACTGCACCACCACCAGTTCGTCAGAAAGAATGGTTTCTCTCACTGTGATTGCCATCTTCTGTAAGGTCGAAAAATTAAAGTTTGATTGATTTTTGTTTTAAGAATGGGTTCGATCGCATGATACGAATCTCTTACAATCACTCACTCTCGATTACAGAGGAAGAGAAGATTATTTTTTTTTAAAATGGGTTCTAGGTGGCGAAAGGATGCTTCTTTCGATGCTTAAGCCGAGATTGCTTCCCGTTGACGATCAAAACAAGATCACAAAAGCTTTTGATGGTGGCTTGAATCACGAAAATACAGACACTAATCTCTCTTCACACGATCGCCAAAAACTCCTCCAGAAGTTTAAAAAAAGCCCCTTCTTCATAGCTGCTCATGGCTATTTATAAGGTTTCAGCACGTAACCAATGTACTAAAATTATGGGTAGAGGGCGTTACTGCTTCCTGTAATTCAACCCACGTTGGTTAATGAGGCGAAACATGCTCCTAAAACTTAGCCCACATGGCTGACTAAGTCTTCCGGCTAACTAAGTCTTCCGAGCCGTTACAGTTGGATCTCCAGCGGACGACGAGCCTCACTGTTTGGCGAAGTTCATCTGATTGAACGAACCTCAATATGCAGCGAAGTTCGTCTCCTAAGACCAACTTTGTAGTACATCGAACTCTGTCTTCATTGATGTCGTCTGACGAGCTTCGTATTCACTAACGAGCTTCGTATTCACTAACGAGCTTCATATTCACTAACGAACTTCGTCTTCGACAGCTGAGTCCAACTGCGCAGCAAATCTTGTGAATTTCCTTTTGACGAGCCTCATCTTTATTAATGAGATTCACGTCTGGTGATGAGCTCCAAACCTCGTATCCAATGACGAGCTTCGAACCTCGTTTCCACTGGTGAGCTTTTAACCTCGTATCCAACGATGAGTTTCGAACCCCGTTTCTACTAGTGAGCTTCGAACCTCATATCCAATGACGAGCTTTGAACCTTGTTTCCAATGTTGAGTTCGCCGAGCCTCGCTGCATGGTGAACCTCGTTTCTGATATGGCTCCTCGCTGGGTGATGAGTCTCATCTTTGACCAAGACGAGGTTCGTCCCTATCCTCGTTTCTGATATGGCTCCTCGCTGGGTGATGAGTCTCATCTTTGACCAAGACGAGGTTCGTCCCTATGACGACCTTCGTCATATCTTGAAGTGTGATGAGTCTCATCTTTGACCAAGACGAGGTTCGTCCCTATGACGACCTTCGTCATATCTTGAAGTTCGGTATTTTTTAATGCCTACGGGGGAAAAAGTAATCAGGTCTTGATGCTTCTCATCAGCAGTTACATGACTTTTCACTGAAAACCAACACCTAGCATAAAAAAGCAAATGCAACCATCTTAGGTTAGTGTTGTTGGATATTCAAGTAAAACATGTTAGAAGATAGTACTCTGTCTTAGCTTCTATGGTGTCTCGTGTCAAGAATTTTCGTTAGCTAGTCAGTTGAGATTTTGATTAAAATGGTTTATGACATAATAACACAGGATTCTGACTTTCCAAAAGAAGTTGAAAGAGAAGTATTAATAATTAATGTTAATTTGATATATATTTACGTTAAACTGTCTAAGTGTCAGTTTGGTATTGCTGGAGCTTATAATAAGTTGATTATATAAGTAGCTTATAGAAGCAATTTACATAAGCTGCCGAAAATAGTCATTTGGTAATCATATATCAAAAGCTGCTTCCAAAAGCAATTTAAGTGTTTCACAAAACTATGCTTAAAGATCATTGTCAAAAGATGAAGGTCATATATTATATAAACTAAAAAAAAAAGTAGAAACTGCTTTTAAAAGCATCCTACGATTGTTTCTAAAAGCACCCTCTTAAAAGCAGAAGCAATTTCAATAAGTATGTAATTTTTTTACTAAACATCATCATTGATAGCTTCTCACGAAAGTAAGTAGAAGCACCCTAAAAAAAGCAATACTAAACTGTCCCTAAAGCTAGTAGGCGGACTTTTTTATTAAATTCAATTGATTATATGCTTTCCTTGTTCTCTAGTTGCTTGTCAACCAAAATCTAGCATTTTGAGTTATGCAGATCATCATCTATTTTATTTTATTTTAAAATTTTTTATTTTATTTAAAAAATTTTTGGAGGTGATGCATTCGGGACGAACTGCAGTAAAATGTGGAACTCACTTCATTCCATTTTAATTGGATTTGCTATAAGGTAACATGCATTTTTTTGGGGGTGATGCATTCAGGACGAACTGCAGTAAAATGTGGAACTCACTGCATTCCATTTTAATTGGATTTGCTATAAGGTAACATGCATGTCCTGTGTATGTATCTTTCAGCAATTCTTCTTCTTTTTTCTTTTTTTTTTAAATTAGGAAGTAGAATATGTAGAACTAATATTCAGAATAGTAAAAATTGTTAATTCATGGAATTGTAACCAGATAGAATGACGAAAACTGAAATAGGAATGCAAATATTGAATATCACACATTGATTAAGATGAAGATATTTTGGCCAGCTTATGGCTTTGTGACACCTTTGTTAGGATTGTGTCTTTGATTCTTTGTATAACTTCATGAGAATTAGATAATGTTAGAGATCTATCATGATTAGGAGATTGAGTCTCATCATGATTAAGAGTTTTAGTCCTATTCTAATTAGGAAGTTAGGTTAGAGAGAGAGTTTTGGTTTCCTTATATATATTCTTCTATTGTTGGAGGAAAAACCAAGGGAGAAGAGAGATAGCTAATATTCTTGTAATGTAGGACATGATGACATGTTCAAGCGAAGGAGAATACATGTTCCCTGTATCATGATAACCCTTGCAGATTACCTTTGAACTGATACATATTTTAGCACACATCATTTTGCTTTTATCCTTTCCATGAATTTCGATGTTCGAACTGTTTTACGTGTCAATTCCGGTTAAAATTAATGTTAACTTTGTATATATTGTTAGTTCATAATCTAATTTTCTAGGATTTTCGTCAATTTGATTTTGATTATATTCAAACTGACTAAAGCTAGCGGTGGAGTTCTCTCTCTTTTTTTGAATAAGTTCATCGGCTTATCTGCTTCATTAACATTTTTCCATTTTCAAGCTGATCTGCATTCTGAGTTACATACATAATCTTATATTTCATTTTAAGTTCATTTTTACTGTGCATTGCATGCAGGACTCAATGCAGTTAGAAACGGAAGCCTGCTTCCTGAAAATGCATGATAGAAGAAATCAATGGAGACATGCAAGGTACCTTCATATCCTATACATGTATCTTTAATAATCCCTCATCAAAAAAGGTTTTCTTTTATTTTCTCTCCCTCTTTTTTCCCCTTCTTTTTCTTGCATTAGGAGCTAAAAACTTTAGGACAGAAATTCAATGTGTAAAAGTTCTAAAACTTTTATGAAAATTTGAAGCAGATGAGAAGAAAAGGCTAAGCTCTCATTCAAAAACCGAAATACGAATGCAAACATTGAACAGCAAATAAGACTCAGATGAAGAAGATATTTTTGCCGGCCTATGGCTTTGAGATGACTTCAGCTGTTGCATGATGCATTATTCTGTAGTCTTGTAGCTGTTATCTAAGATTAGAATCCTCAATTTTTGTCTCAAATGTAGGAGCTCTTTTGTGATTCTTCAATAGATTATAGGGGTTTTGACTCTCCTAATGTCAAAAAAGTGAAGCGTCCATTTTTCTCATCAAAATCTATTAATACTTGATCGTTATGATAGCACATCTCGGGGATTTGCAGTCATTCACACTTTTCATTCAACACTATCAGCTGATTTGTCATCTATAAGATAGTTATAACATGATACTTGCTATGATTTGCATTCATTTTCGTTTTTTATTCAATATTATCAAATCCGTTACTACTCTAATTAAATAATATATTGTTATAATCAAATCTAAATAATAGCTGACTGTGGCAGTCCACAAAATAGACCCTCCATTGGTTTCTGATGCTGTAAATACACCTGAAATCATAATCACAGAAAAAACTTGCGTCATAAGCTGTGATAGTGATACATAGCATCATATAGCAACGCGCTCCTGTTTATTCAAATTATCGGCTATTATATACTTAATGATTTGATATGTTGGACTAATTTTTGAAAGTTCATGTTAGAAGATCCATTTTCCTTCACACTTTCTCTTGCAATATTAGCCATCTCACTTACTGACTTCCTCAGCCCCTCATCCACCATTACCTTCCTAGCCATACTCTCTATAGTGTTCCTATCGCATGTATCCTTCATGTCTACTCCAATCTTCCACACTTCACCCACATACCTACTGGTAATTTGTTGGTCAGCAAAGAATGGCCAACATATCATCGGCACCCCTGCTGCTATGCTCTCCAACGTCGAGTTCCATCCGCTATGCGTCAAGAAGCACCCAATTGCTGGATGGGCTAGTACCTCTTCTTGTGGGGCCCACGGCACAAAACAAACCCTTTCCGTTGTGTATATCTCTAGCTCTGTTGTGATTCCTTGTACAAGATCAGGTCGAATCACCCATAAGAACCTATGGCCGCTATTGACAAGCCCATGAAAAAACTCGTGAAACTTGTACCCCGTCATGGTTGTTATGCTACCATGGCCGCTATTGACAAGCCCATGAAAAAACTCGTGAAACTTGTACCCCGTCATGGTTGTTATGCTACCAAAGCTGATATAGACAACTGACTTGTTCGGTTGCGAGTCTAGCCACTTGATACAAGATCTATCTTGTAGCCAGAAACTAGGGAAATTGGTGGATGAATTCAAGTTTCTTTGAAGAAGGTGAAGAGGCCCGATAGTGTAAATGATTGGACAGACAGAACGAATGTGAGATAGGACAAGTGAATCTAATGGTTCGAAGGCGTTTAGGATGAGAGCTTTCGCTCTTCCCAAGTTGTTGCTGGCAGTGTTAAAGAATTCAAGAACTCGATCATTTGGAGATTTGGCATGTCTTAGTGTGCCTGGAAGATCTCTGCGTCGTAAGAGACTCTGCATCCCTTCTACCCCTTGTATCGGATCATCCATGTCAGCCTCCTCTGCAGTTGAGCATTTTACCAAGGGTGAGGTCATAATACACTTATGGTGTAACTAAAAATATTTACGCCTACTTAGGAAAATACATGTCTTCCATCTATATGATTAATCCAAATCGTTCTTTGATATCCACACATCAACCAACCCAAGTGGATCAAAACCCAAATGGAGGGGACTTTCCATCCTATGACTAAAGCAACTCAAGATAACCGTCGTTTGAGTCCGGTATATGTTGTTCACCTCTGAGTCATGAGATGCTGAAGAGACTAGAGGTTCCAAATCAATGTGATTTTTTTATCTCCGTGAATTTGTGAACGTGTGGATCATGATGAGTGGGTTGGAGTATTAGGATAGACAGTTAGACATATATATTCACGGGCAATTGTAAACTCCAATCAGTTACATCCTATGCGTAACGAAATGGTCTTATTATATAGATCTTTCTTTTAAATTCTGGGACTAGTAAAGTGTCGGTAGAGCAGATCATCATACCAGGGAACGGGAGCTCTCCTCTTTTTATGAGCTCTGGAATGGAGTAATAAGCCCACACACTGCAAGGACTGCTTGTACGCAGAAGGATCACAGGAACCATCATCTCCTCAGCCACATCAAATGCAACAGGCATCATCCCATCGGCCACAACACAAGTAACTGGTGGCCACCCGTCGGGGTCTTCACCATTCTGAGGCACCAAAGTCTCCCTATAGAGTTCACTACATCGAGCCCTTATTGAGTCTACAAGGTCTACTACTTGTAAAATTGGCTCAGTATTGTTGCTAGTGAGTCCATCAGGGAGTGTTTTGAATCTGAACCTAGGCTGTTGAGCCAGTTGCTCGAGGGCAGGAGAGTTTTTGAGCAGGCGGTTATGGATGGTTTCCGTGTTGAGGAAGGTTATATGGAAGCCAGAGAGCGATAGAAGCTCCGCTAGTTTGAGCATCGGAGGGATATGACCCTGAATGGGGAAGGGGAAGAAGAGGACATGTGGGTTTTTTGCCTTATCTTCTGCCATGGATTTGTTTTTTTTTTTGTTTCTGATCTTTGTGATGATGCTTTGTGCGTCTCATCCTAGTTTTTAAAGCCTTTTGATGTTCTCCAATTGAACATACTGTATTCTTAACCCTCCCTAATGTCCAGCGTAGGATAAAGTCTACTTTTCAACCGTAACCATCTTTTAGTATTTGGAAACTAGTAGGAAAAGGTTGGTTGTGATGGTGAAATTATTAACAAGATGGCCGAAATGCTTAAGTCATGAAAGCAGAACACCATCCACGAGTCGCTTGTCCCACCATCCACTAGTTGTTTGTCCTTGAAGTTTGTGGGGTCAACTTTTTTTCTTTTCCTTTTAGAAGTTCTAGGCCTAAAAATTTATTGATAATAAAGAATAATTGATTTAGGGATGGAGGGGGAGAAAAACTATAAATTTACACGGGGTTGTCTGCTATCATAGAAAGAATTCAAATATTGATGCATCTCATCAGTAGTTACATGACTTTTAGGATCTTCTGATATGTTGTATTCTAAGTATGGCATGAAAAATATATGATGTAATGCAATTATCTACTTTATTGTTGATGATGAAGATCCAAATCTAACTGTGGCATGAAAAAGATATGATGTAATGCAATTATCTAATTTATTGTTGATGATGAAGATCCAAATCTAACTGTCGCATGAAAAAGATATGATGTAATGCAATTATCTACTTTATTGTTGGTGATGAATATCCAAATGCAATGTATTATAAGCTAGTACTTTGTGTATGAGATTCTATCATGTTTCTTGTTAAGAATTAATGTTAGTCCACAAGCTAACAGTTTAAGGTCTTGAGTAAGGTGGTTTTCAACATGATATTTAGAGAATTATTGACTTTCCAAGAGAAGTTCAAGAAAAGTGTTTAAGAATTGATGTTAACATGATATATATTATTTGCTCGCTCGCTTTAAGCTGAGTAGGAGTTTCTATATTTGAACTCAATATCTTATCGATCTGTATCTTTGTTTTCTATTTGATTAACAAATCAAATCCTGTTTTCTGCTTTCATCAACTATTTTATTTTAATTTCATTTTTCTTCTTTCGTGATGCATTCATAGCTCACTGCAGTTAGGGAGGAAGCCTGCTTCCTGAAAATGTATGACCACAGAGAAACAATGGTGACAGGCAATAAGGTAACATGCATATCTGGTATTTGTATCCTTAGCAGTTTCTTCTTGGAAAAGGGTTCTTTTTATAAATATATATATATTAGGAACTAGAATATTTAGAACTAACATTCAGAATTGTAAAATTTGGAAAGGGCAAGCTCTTGGTGAGCAGAATTGAAATAGGAATGCAACTATTGAGTGACAATAAATTAAGATGAAGGAAGATAATTTTGCCGGGCTCTTGAATTGCATGTCGCATTGTTTTGTATAGCCTCATAGCTGATATCCAAGGTGACAATTCTAAACTTCTGTTTGGAGCCTTCGTTATTTTTCAATAGATTATTTCCATTTTTTAGTTACAGTCATCTGTTAATATATTCAGATAGTTATGATGCCATATCGCATCTTATTGATATTTAGATAGTTATGATACCATATCTCATCCTTTGGTATTTAGATAGTTATGATACCGTATATCTTACAATCTAGTCTCCTTCACACTTGTCATTCAACATACTAAAATCTGTTAAATTTTTTCTACTGTTATAATCAAATCTGTTCACAAAGTATTAGATTGTTGCAATCAAGAAAGTAAATCGCTACTGTCTTCTTCTATGCGGAGAGTATCGTGATCCATCTGAACACAGACATCTCACTTCATATTTGTGAATACTCCTTCCGTTAATACCACAAAAACATATACTTCTATGTGGAGAGTATCATCTGTTAACAAAGTATTATATTGTTGCAAACAAACATCGCTGCTCATGTTTTTGATCTATTTAACTTCATATTTGTGAATACACCTCCCACTAATACTGCAAAAACCTAGTACTCCCCCCACAAGCATTTTATATGCACACATAAACAGGAGTGGCTATCATCCTCAACATTTCGGCCCGCCACCATTCTCCTCCCTATTCGGCTGCAATGCTGCAATTATTTAATGACAAACAAGATTCAGATGGAGAATATATATTTGCCAGCCTCTGGCTTTGAGATGCCTTCGGCTCTTGGAATTGCATGAGGCATTGTTCTACAGCCTTGTAGGTGATATCTAACATTAGAAACCTCTGTTTTTGTCTCAAATCCAGGAGCCTTTTGTAATTCTTCAATAGATTATATTGGGATTTCTAGTCACAATCTATTATTATTTAGATAGTTATGATACCGTATCACGTAGATTCGCAGTCATTCACACATTTCATTCAACATAATAAGATCAGTTGATCTGTTCATCTATATATGAGTTAGTTATGATGTCATATCTGATGTGATTTGCTTTCATTCAACAGAAAGCCTCGTCTCATCAGCTAAGATACATAGCATTACGTAACAGTACACCTCCTAATTATCGAAATTATAAGCTAGAATACACTTAAGGATTTGATAAGTTGGATCGAATTTTGATAGTTTATGTTAGAGGATCCACTTTCCTCCACACTTTTTGTTGCAATAATATTATAGCCATCTCATCTATCGACTTCTTCAGCTCCTCATTGCCTTCTTCCTAATCATCCTCTCTAAAGTGTCCCTATAACATACATCCTTCATATCTGCTCCAATCTTCCATACGTCACTTACAAACCTACTGTTAATTTGCTGGTCAGCAAGGAATGTCCAACATATCATCGGGACTCCTAGCTACCAATATGCTCTCCAGTGTCGAGCTGCATCCACTATGGGTCGGGAAGTATCCGAGTGCTGGATGGCCTAGCACCTCTTCTTGATGAGCCCATGGCACGAAACAACCTCTATATCGCGTCTTCCTCTACTAACCCTGTAGGTATCATCACCAATTAACCATCCGTCGTTCCTTGTACGAGATCAGGTCAAATCACCCACAAGAATCTGTGACTGCTCTTGACAAGCCCATGACAGTTCCCTTGAAATGATTGTCATGCCGCCGAAGCTGACATGGACAGCTGATCGACCTCCTTGGTTGAGAGTGTAGCCGTTTTATGCAAGATCAGTCTTGTAGCCAAAAACTAGTGGGAATTGGTGGATGAGTTTAAGTTTCTTTGTAGATGGTGAAGTGGTCCGAGAGTGTAGGTGATTGGACGAATAGAATGAATATGAAATAGAATGGGTGAATCTAATGATTCAAAGGTGTTTAAGATGAGAGCTTTTCCTGGTGCTAAGTTTTTAGAAATAACTAGGACTAAAGCTTTTGCAGCGTTCAAGAATTCAAGCATCCGATTAGCTGAGGAACTGAGGATCCTTAACTAGCCTGGAGGATCTACTATAAGAAACTTTCCATCCCTTCTACCCCCTTGTATGGACCCCATCCATGTCTCCGCTCTAATTTGACATTCTCCAAAAGGGTAAGGTCATGATACAACTGTTTACAACTCTCCCTGAGAAAAATATAATTTTCATCTTATTAATCGAAACCAGTTGTTGTCATTTACGCATCATCGGTTAGAAGTAATTTGTAGTTCTCTAGAACGTTGTACAATAATCTTTGTTGATGTCTGATATCACACAGTCGAGAGGGTTACGGTTCTGATCTTCGCGCTGGCGGCGAATAGGAAGAGGATGAGAGATGAGACCGACTCCTCCTCCGACTCTATGCCCGATCCTTAGACTGGAATTCCTGATTCTTCTGCACAAACAAGAAGAAACTCGTGGGAGGGCGGGGCTAATTTTCCTCGTGGTACCTCCGATGGTCAAATCAGCTGGTGAGCTTGAGTGGGGTTTGAAGGAGAGTCACTGGGCCATTGAGGCCTTAGAGGGTGTTCTTTGAGAGTTATTAGTTCTTTTTAACAAAGGTAAATTCAGAGCTTTTGTGAAGAAGTAACAGAAAAAATCCCCCCTCTTTTACCTTCTTTCCCTCCTTTTATAGCCCATCGCCTCTGAGAGTTTGACTCTTTGGCTTTGACTATGCACAGGAGGCAGTTGAGGGGTGAGCAGGCAGACTGCTGAGTCATCTTTCTTCTTCAAGATGTCGGCTGGCGATTGGAAGGAAGTCATTCGAGTACTGGAGAGAAATGTCTTCTCAGTATCCTGGATTTGATAGATGAGACAGGGCAGAGGATAGGCCAGCTGCTTGGTCGTCCTTCCCCCTCCAGATGACGGCTGGTGATTGGAGGGGAAGTCATTCGAGCCCAGGGGAGCATCATGGTGATCCCTAGGAAATGACTGTGAGTAGAATAAGCGGATTATGCACGAGATTTGTTAGAGCAGAGATCTTGATGAGACTGATCAATGCTGTAGTGCCGATTGACATCTGAAGCGAGCTTAGCCGGATCTTATCCTCTTAGTAGAGGCGGGTTGGTTCATGAGTTGTCTTTATAATTTCCCGACCCGACAGCCAAGTGAGCTTCGAATCGAGTGTATGGTCGAGACGTCTGCTCGGGGAGTCATTTTAATTATAGGGGACCGACTGATCCCGCACTTCAAGTCGGTAATGGTGACCCTTGGTCAAAAAATGACTCGTCTACTTGGTTGGCTGATAGATTTGCCCTTGGCTGGGCTTTTGGGCCTCTAAGCTGGTTTGGACCATGGCATTTTTAAGCCTATGCAGACAATCTTTCGATATTTTCATATTTAGATGGTAAATTACCATAACAATCTTGTGATATGAAAAGTTTCTAGAAACAACTAGGACTAGAAATATGACAAAAATAAGATATATCTAGAAAACCTGATTATTATACAATTCTCTAGAATGTTTCATGTAAAATATCTATGCTCTAGATAGTTCTATATGTGCCTATAAATAGGCAATTGATATAAGCATTGTAAACAAGATTTGAAGCAATTCAAACAAACTTTCTTCAATCTAGCCTTTTTGTTTTCAGTAGGCTATATCCATATTTTTAATTATAATCATCTATTTAATATTTAGATAGATAGATGGATATGATATCATATCTCCTATGTTTTGCTCCCATTCGCGCTTTTGTCATTTTCAACATAATCAAATCAGTTCCTCGAACAACAGACTATTGCAATTGACATCCACTGCTTTTTTATTATTATTAAAGTATGGAGAGCATTAGGATCCCTCTGAAACACATATACATCTAAATTATTTTAGTGGTTCTTGCAAACATCACTGCATGCTCTCAATCCGACCTGAAATCATAATAAACAAGATAAACAATTCGTTTCCATGTGAATGCTTCTTCCATTGGTAACACGAAAACAGAGTACTTTCCCCACAAGCATTTTATTCACATAGAAACAAGACATGCATAGTCACTCAACATTTAGGCCCTCCACCATTCTCCTCCTCCTTCGGCCACCGGCGAAAGAACAACCCGCTGCCGAACACGAAGAACCCGATAGCATGGCCCGCAACCACCACGAGCAGAACCCCGACGTTGAACGACATGACAGAAAGCATAACCAAATACGAAAACCCGGTCCTGAGGACCGTGACGCCGGTCACCATCACGGCAGAGGACAGCCGTCGATGATGGCTGCGGAGGGGGAGGAAGGAGAGGAGCTCGACGAGGAAGGAGAGAACGAAGACGAGGAGGAGGGCGAGGAGGTAGGCGGCAATGCCTCGGTCCCCGGGCCAGCCGGAGAAGAGGATGTCCACGCGGCGTCCCCAGAAGAAGGTCATGTGCATCATCATCTTCTTCATGTGCATGGATGATGGGGGTGGCGCCATGGTCATGTTCATGTGATGATCCGTTGACATCATCATCGTCATGCCTTTCTTCTCCTTGGTTGTGTCGTCGTGCGTGCCTTTATATAATTGAGGAGGGGGCGGTGAGATCAGGGAGAAAAAGAGAGCTAGATGAACGTGACATGTAGTTCGGAAACAAACCGCATAGATGGCAAATACGTAGTCAAGACCGAGAGAGCCTTAGGTAAATGCCAACGATTTCTTTGTATAGTTTTAAAGATTTTCCGAAATAATATCTCTGAAGGACAAATTTTTAAAACCAACCTATTTGTAAATTTAATCCCAGAAAACAATCCCTTTCAAACTTAATTGCAAAAACCGACCTGGTTTCAGTCTTGGCACTGAAACCAGGTCGGTTTTTGTGAAAAAACTTCGGAAACTTCACGGGAGTTGAACTCCCGTGAAGTTTAGTAAAACTGCTTAACTTCACGGAAGTTGAACTCCTGTGAAGTTTCGCAGTTCAAAAAAAATTTGAACTACGAAACTTCACGGGAGTTCCACTCCCGTGAAGTTTAGCAGTTTTACTAAACTTCACGGGAGTTCAACTCCCGTAAAATTTCGGATAAAACCAGCTCCAGGGCTGAAACCAGGTCGGTTTTTGAAATTTTTTGAAAAAACGGTTGTTTTTTGAAAATAAATAGTGAAAGGGGTTGGTTTTGAAAATTTGTCCTATCTCTGAATGTTACTTGTCTCATTTGTATAAGATCGTAGTCTACGGAGCGCTAAGTTTCCTCTCTCTTTTCATAGAAGCTCCTATTTTTTTTCCTTTTGTTTTCGGGAAAAAAAGTCCTTAGTTTTACCCTTTACTTACCTTTTCTAAGAAGCCTCTTTTCTACTTTGGGGCTGTTTGGTTCGTTTCCTAGATATAGGGAAATGTATTTTCATGTACAAAAACAAAAGTTTTGAGTTTTTCAAACTTTTCTAAGAAATAGATTGTTTCGCTTTGGTTCGCACAAAAAAATGATGGGAAACCAATGTATTAATTTTTTTGTGTTTGGTTCGCATGGAAAAAAGGGAAAACTTTTGTTTATATGGCAAAAAGCTGAAGTGGCTATAGTTTTCGTCGATTTCACGAGGTTGAGGAAGGAATTGGGAGAGAGAAAAAAAATTGATGTGGCGACGATTTTTACCAAAAAAAATCTGATGTGGCGGCGATTTTCACCGAGTTTCCCTTCTTTAACCCTAGCGAATCAAAGATGGGGGGAAAACCGACGAAAAACTTATATGCTACGTGGCCACGAAAAATCTGATGTAGAGGCAGTGTAAAACTTTTCCACCGAGTTAAAAAAAGAATCAAACAGCCCCTTTTAATAAAGGAGCCCGGAAGCTTTACTTTTTTTTTTTGCCCCCAGTAAGCCACTATCTTTCTTTTTTTACAACGAAACCTCTATGTTAACAAGAAAACTTACGTGCTTCCTTAAAGGGTAAAATTAAGAGCTTTTTAGAATGAATTGGTGAAATGTAAGGGTTCCATTAAAAAAAAAAAAAAAAAAAAAATTGAAGGCTTTTTAGAACAGAGGATTAAAAAGTAAATGTTATATAAAAGAGGGTAAAACGTAGAGGTTTTTTTAGTTTATCTTCTCTTGAGCTTTGTGAAGATATTTTGGTAATTATGTGGCAGAGAATTGTGAAAATTGAAGGGTTCATTGTCATGTGAGATTGGACAAACAAAATTGTTTGTTAGCGGGGATTTTTCTTTTGGAATCATACGAGTGCCATTAATGGGAGACATTAATGTGGGTACGTGTAGGGTCTCTCCTGTTTCACACAGTTCAAGGACGGGCCTTTAAATTGTCATAAAGAGTCCATTGACGTTTTTGGAATTATTATTGGTGGCAGTTCTCTTTTCTTGCTTTCTATAGAGTGTTCATGGACATTCTATAAAAGCGGAGAGAGATAGGGAGAAATGAATGAGGAGGGGGGTCCCCTGATTTGCATTGGGATCCTCTTCTCATTCATTTCTTTCTATCACCCTCCTCTCTTATAGAGTGCCCATGGGCACTCTATAGAAAAACCGTTTTTTTAATTGGTATCCTCTGCTAATGTATAGTGTTCCTAATATTTTCTAATAAGGAGATCTTAACCTTTGATTTATCAATCAAAGGCCAAGATCTCATTCTTATCCTCCCCTTACTTTTGCTCATGAGGAGATCATGGCCTTTGATTGATCAATCAAAGGCCAAGATCTCATGAGAAGGTCTTAGGAACCTCCTCATGAGTAGAGGATCCTAATCCGAGAATTATGTTAATAAACAAAATTGAATGGGAGAAAATTATTCATGTTTCTCCTTTCGATTTGAGCAATTGTGGCAATGTGAGCAGGTTCTACGTATATATTTCATGTTATTTAGGAGTCATCTATCAAACAACATATATAGATAAGCTTGCTAGCAAATATTTACTCTCCTGTCCTATCTTCCAAGTTTCCTTTTAGGAAAAAAAAATCAAGGATATAAACAGTGATTCCTCTAAAAGTGAAAAATTAAATAATCCTCACGTTAAAGGATCATGCTAGCAAATCATGTACACAAGTTCTCGTGTCCAATTAGTAGAATATTCACATATTGTTAGCAATTGCAAATTGTACTTTAAGAGGGGTATAAGAGCAACTCCAACCGATCGCCATTTCCCCAAATTGACGCAAATTTTTCCCGTTTTCTTCCTCCAACCGATCGCCATTTTTAATGCTATTTTAAAGTTGTGCTACAGTGTTGCGCCAAGAATAGCGTAACACTGTAGATATAAGAGTTTTTGTTTTTTCCAATTTTACCCTTAAAGTTTGTTATAACAAATTAAATATTCTAATCATATCCCATTAAAAGATAAGAATGATAAAAGGAATATTTTTTTGGTGTAAAATTTAATGTAATGGGTTGGAGATGGAATAGTGATTTGGTGTAAAAACTACATTATTTTGGGTTTTGTGGTTGGAGATGCTATAAGATGGTAAGAGCACAGGGAGGAGCAAGGTAAGATTTCATTTGCCTCCTTACTAATCGAAACTGGTGTGCTTTAACTTTAATGAGAGGAGGAGAGTACAAATGCGACTGCTTAGCTTTGGGGCCTTATGAAACGTTACCTGGGTCAACAGCCCAGATGCGTATAGTAGGCCGTAATTAAGAAAAATGGTCAAATCCGCCAAAGCCATAACAAGCTCGGCCCATCTTAATTCTCTGCTAAAATCCTTGCTCTCAAATTTATTCAACGCTCACTAATAAAACAAAGTTTTCCCAACGACTCTCGGGTGACGCTATACGTCGCTTAATTACCCCCGCGCGGTGAACGATTCGATATGCTGGATCAACCTGTGCAAATCTTTATAAGACGACCCCTCTTTCTCGACGCTCTCCTTGGCCACCTTCGCAGCTCCTCCACCGACCACTCGCTCACTGTCACCCGCTGCCTCCCCGTCCTCGCCTCGCTAACCACCCTCTGACGACGGCCCTCCCGCGTGTCGGCTTCATGTCCACCCCGATCGCGCAGAACTCGCTCAGCGAACAGGTCTATTTATCTGTTGGTCGCTATCACGGCCAGCATATCATCGCATCCTGAACCAGCTCTGCAGCGTCGGGAGTTTTCCACCCGCTGTGCGTCAGGAAACACCCCCGGCCGGGGTGGCCCAGCACATCCTGCTGTGGGGCCCACGCACGACTCGCCGCTCTCTGCCGCGATCCCCTCCAACGTCTCGTCCGCCGCACCAAGTCGGGCCGGCGGACCAGCAGGAACGGGTACCCGCTGTCGACGCAACGCCGTGCGAAAACTGCGACGAGGTCCTCCCTCCGAGACGGCCGGCTATGCTGGCCGAAGCTAGGTGTACAGACGACTTTGGGCTGGGCGTCGAGCCACGGTAAACACGTTGGTCTCCGCCGACAATCGCGGCGAAGCCGAGGAGTGGCTTTCGGTGTGCGGCGGTGTTAACGAGCGCGTGCACGGGGGCGAGGGTGTAGGTGGCAGCGCAAACAGATCGATGTGGGCCAGCGACTGAGCCTCGACGACTGGCGATCGTGTTGAGATGGAGGGCCTGGGGCTCGGGCAGGTCGGGCGCTTATCTCATCACGCGGAGTGTAGGGTTGGTCGTCGGCGGGAATTTTGGCTTGCCGGATGAGGCTCGGGAGGTCCCTGCGTCCGGAGGAAACCTTCCATCCCTTTCACGCTCTCTATTCTCTCCTCCAAGTCCGCGTCTGTGTGCAAACACATCCACGTAAAATTACATTAAGGGGAAGAGGGACGTGCAGCCTAGCTAGATGTAAAATTAAATCATACCCAGGTCTAAATTATATTTTAATTACGCACGTACCGTCATCGAAGGGGACCTCCCCTCTCTCCATCAGCTCGCCAACGTTGCAGTAGGCCCAAACGCTGCAAGCGCTGCTCAGACATGTTCTGTTAATTTATTAACCATCCCCCCCCCCCCT